CTAGGGTTTTGTTTTCTACTATATCGAGTGTCAAAACATCGACGAGAGCTGACAAGCAACACAGCACGGTGAGAAACCGAGATAACGTCACCCGAAAGCTTCATTCAAAGTTAACAGGGCGGTTTTACCTCACTCCTGCTGAATTTCTAGAGCAACAGCTCTGCTCCACCTCCCGGGGCGTGCTCCAATCACTTCCTTGTTTTTAAAAAGTCCTTTTACCAGCGTGACACACGCAGAAAGAAACTAAATATTCAGAAGTTCTTCGTCAAACATGCAAAATAAGGTAAAATATCATGTTGTTTCTAGCATTACAGTAACCTCCTTTCTCTTTAGGAGATTTAAGTAAAACTACACTTTGCAGGAAATACTTCCACATTCAGAAGGAAGCTGGAAACTGGTGATGTTGATTTCTGGGATAGAAAAAACCCACCATTAGATGACAGCTACTAGGAAAGCAGCTAGTTTTATTCAAGACTTGAGAAAGCAATCACACTCTCTCGCCCTGCGCAGGTCGAATTTAGGCTTGTAACTTTCTAGGGAGCTGAATGCAGTACAGTTACCTTAACGGACAGGTTGAATTCTGAAGATTATGAACAGCTGACAGGACCTTAAGGAATATTTAGCCTCATATCTTCAGCACAGACTAGGAAAATACTTGTTGAAAATTTAACTGAGACAGAAACCTGTTCTCGTGTTCCAATAAAACACGCATCGCTTCTCTGAAAAAAAAATACACTGACTAGTAAAAATGATCAAAAAAATACAGAGAGGGAAAACCAGAAGAGCTTATTTTTACTAATCACAACTGGAGAGGAAAGAGAAGCCAAGAGAATGAACTAACTGCTCCAGTCCTACTACAGATGTTTATAATGCTTACTTGTACCGGCTAATCAGCTGAACTCCATCTGTTGTGTGTCCCTCTCCTACCGCTCATTAAGAAAAACAAACAAAAAACAGTTAACAGTGGAGCTAGTCTTAAATAGAAAGTTAAGAGGAAAAGTATCTGGAAGTCTGATCAGCTCCTGAAGGAGCTGATCGCAAGCTCTCCAGCTCGACTTCTAACTAGAGTTCTCAAAAAGTCTTAACAGCCTTTATCACATGTGCGTTCTGTGGGTTGGTTTTTTTTTTTTTTTTGGATGAAAAATAGAGAAAACCCCATGACACGCATTTTCAGTTTACTCGGCGGAGAGATAAGAGCGTTGGTAGTATCCTCCAGAAGCCTTCGGAGCGTAACTGCATCGTGTGAAGCAATTTCACAAGGCAATACCGTGCACCTCCTCGTACGGTGTAAAGAACCAGAAACCAGCAAGGAAACAAGGTCATAACAGTAAAACTGAAAGAGCAGAAATGGTAACTTCAAGACAGTCACGTTGAAAAAAATGAGCTGAACACCAACTGTAGGAAGTCCTTACACCCCCAAAGAGTTGCTAAAGCCTTTATATTTCACCCACCACAACCTAATGGGTTTTGGTGTTTTCTGCCTAGAGAAAGGCGCGTATAAAATAGCGTACTACGAGAAGAAAGCTGGCAAACGTCAAAATGCAGTAAGTGGAGACGGGGAAGCGCAAGGACGCCAAATTCGCCTTCGCTAGAGAGCAGCAGGAAGGCCCCGGGCTCTTGGCGCTTCCTGCCCGTTAGCAGGTTCTCTTACTCACCGGCCGGGCCTGGGGACTCAAGTAGGGTTCAAAGTCATCATCGTTTAACCCATCCTTCTGATGCACAGATCCGTTTTGCACTGGGGGAGAGACGTAGAGCGTTAGAAAGAACTCTGCCGATGAACTCGAACGTTTACCGACTGAAAGTATCGAAGGACGGACCCTATAACGCAACTACCGCTCGCTAGCGAAGAACATACCGCGCTTAGCCCGGCGGAGGGTGCCAAGGCACTTCACCACCGCGCACACGCTCCTTAACTGCAAACTTTCCCCAGCCCCAGGAGCGACGACAGGCTCCGCGGCTGGCGCTTTGTTTTTCTCCCAGCCGCTCCGCCGGGAGAAGGCGCACAGACCCGAGGACGTGCCCAGCAAATTCCCGAGGAGACCCTCCCCGTCCC